TTTTTGTTTGTTGGTTGGTTGGTGCTGGAGCTGAAACCCAGGCCTTTTCGTATGCTAGGTGACTGCTCTACCACTGAGCTGCATATACCACTGCCCCCAGCCCTTTCTAGAATTTTTGTTGTTCATATGTTTATCTCCTGGTCCTCTCCTATATATTTTGTTTGTTCACTCTATGTTCCAGCACTCCCAAACTTTAATTTCTACTATCAGATTTGTAAATTTTTGTTCTCTAAACATGTTTAATGACATGCTTCTCTTGTATCATGGATGCAATATTAACTATAGTTTTTTTTTTAAAGAGAGAGAGATTTTTTAAATATTTATTTTTTTTTAGTTTTCGGGGACACAACATCTTTGTTTGTATGTGGTGCTGAGAATCGAACCTGGGCCACACGCATGCCAGGCGAGCGTGCTACCGCTTGAGCCACATCCCCAGCCCTTAACTATAGTTTTATTGCTTATTTTCTTTCTTCTCCCTGCATAGAGTTTGCCTTCACTTTTTATTCCTTTACCCCTCTCTCTTAGTATGTATGTATGTATGTATGTTTGTATTTATTTATATTTTGTGGTGCTGGGGATTGAACCCAGGGCCTTGTGCATGTGAGGCAACTGAGCCAAATCCCCAACCCCTTATTTTTTATTTTGTTCAGAATTTGGGATTGAACCTAGGGGTCTTCTAATTTTATGTCTGGCATTATACACCTGGCATTCTAAAAGCTGAGTAAGAACGGTGTCGAGATCCTAGTCTATAAACCTCTGGGTCATTGTACTGCTAAGCCTGAGCACATAACCATTACCTTATTCATCACTTTCTCTTCTCTTTACCACACTTAGTTTAACATGTGTTGATTACCTACTCTCTGAACATTTTGGTATAATTAGACCCATTGATTTAAATACTGGGGATAAAGGAATTATTAGAACTATATACTTCTCCTATCCCAGGTTCAATTTAAGTCAACTATTGAATTTATGATGTTCAAAATTCAATTTGGGTACAGTGGCGCACCCCTATAATCCCAATGACTTGGGACACTGAGGCAGGAGGATCACAAGTTTAAGGCCAGCATGGGAAAAAATAAAGGGGGCTGGAATGTAACTTGGTAATAGAGCTCTTGCCCAGCATGTACAAGGCCATGGATTCAATTCTCAGTACTACAAAAATAAACAAATAAAATGAAATAAAATAAAATGGCTGTGGGTATAGTTTAGTAGTAGAGATCCCTAGGTTCAATCCACAGTACTGCAAAAAAAAAAAAAAGAGTTCAAAATTTTGTGCTTGGGCTAAGGATGTAGCTCAGTGTCAAAAGTATGTGCTTAGCATGGGCAAAGCCCTGGTTTCCATCCCCAGCACCACAAAAACAAACAACAAAAGCGTTCTATGCTAGCACTGTGAAGAGGAATGATACCAGTAAGACATAGTTCCTGACTTAGAAGTTCATAGATATGTGTGGGAGGCAGAAGCAAATTATGAAACCAAAATACAAGGCAACTGCTGCAAAGAGAGGAAGAAGTGCTTTGGTTGTTTAGAAAGGAAGAAGAGATTCATTTTGATTGTGAAGATATGATGGAAGTAGATAATTGAACTGCAGTTTTAAAACTATACAAGATCTCACAAAAAGAAAGGGGTAAGCAGGGGCTGGGATTGTAGCTCAGTGGTAGAGTGTTTGCCTCGAACATGTGGAGCACTGGGTTCGATCCTCAGCACCATATAAAAAAAGGTCAATAAGTGAAATAAAGGTATTGAGTCCATTTACAACTAATGTAACTAAATACACACACACACACACACACACACACACACACACATACACACAAAGGGGGGTGGGGGAGATGAGCAGACCATAAGCCAAGGCAGAAAGATCAAAAGATCTAGTTTTACGACTCTGCTTCTCTTCCTTGCAGGGTGATTCTGGAGGTCCCCTCCACTGCTCGGTGAGAGGCAAGTATGCTGTCTACGGAGTGACCAGCTTTGTGTCTAGCCTGGGCTGTAATGTCTCCATGAAGCCCACAGTCTTCACCCGGGTCTCTGCTTACATCTTTTGGATAAATAAGGTGAGTCCTCTCAAATAATGGGATGAAACAGGTTATCTTGAGATCCATATACTGGCTGGGTTAGGGAGCAAAAGGTGGGCTGGGACAATAATTGTTTTCCTTATGTAAAGTCCCTTCCCTTCCCCTAGAGGGGAAGTGTACTTTCCCTCCACATTACTGAGTTTCCTTTCCCATTGAGCAGACTTCACTGTATTGCTTAGCTTAGGCTAAGATTGGGGCAACCATAGATCTGAACCAGGCACATATCCTAATTCAAAGTCAAGGGAAAACGAAACTCAGAAATGCCTGTGGGGCCCTCAGGCATGCTCCTTTCCCATAATTTCTTTCTAAGGGCATTTTGAGATTTTGCTTTAATTTTTGAAAGAAATTTTACCACCTTAAGCAATGCTTGAGAGTTAAGTGAGACTCTGCCTACACTGATGTGGTAGTAGAGCCATATAATACATCTCACTGTGTACTTGTAATGCATCCTGGAGTCTTGTGACATGAATCTTGGCTCACAGCAATTTCAAAGTCTGTCCTTGCTGCTATGTCCTGAGCATATACCTATAATACTGACATATCTAAGACCTAACCTCTTTACCCCCCCCCCATCCTTATAAACCTTAAATCCCATCCTTATAAGGGCCATACTTAATTAAGTAGGGCCGTACTTAATTGGGAGTCCTAAAAAACTAAGAAAGAAGGTAGACAGAAGTTACTGACTGTGGGTTAGGTGCTATGACACACACCTGTAATCCCAGCTGAGGTAGGAAAATTCAAGTTCAAAGCCAGCCAACTTGGTGAGACCTTATCTCAGATTAAAAAAAAAAAAAAA